TGCCCCTGAAGTGCAGGGGAGTGGACATCAGGGTGAAGAGGGACTCTTCCCTTGGGTTTTCCCCAGCGTCCACAGAGCCACTGGGTCTGTGAGCTTGCCCTACTCATTACCCGCCGTGGTCCTTCAGCTGGTCCATTTAGGGCTGAGCTGGAACAGGCCACTCCAACCTGGGTTTAAGTCGAAGGAGATCCATGTTCAAGAAGCCCAGCCAAGAGACAGGACACAGGGGCTGAGAGACGGGTTCTGAAGTTGGGTGGGTCGAGGTTCTATCCTGTGKTCACCATTTATCTTCTGTCTTTGGGATGTTAGGTCAGTTGTTTAAATGGTAGGTTTTTCCATTTTCCATTTGTGAAATTGGAACAGTAGCTCTGCTGCCATAGGGTGGTTGTGAGGTGAAATGAAATGATGCGTTTCAGCCCTTGTCACAGTGTCTGCACGTGGCAGACCCTCGGTATTAGCAAATAAAGTAGAATAAAGGCAGCAAACCAGCATGAGCATGGGCAGAGGGGTGTCACTAAATAGGTCTTCATCCACCATGCTCCTGAGCACTGATCCTGTGACGCACAACACGTGGTGTTTGACTATATTTTCTATTTGAATATTTTATGAAATTCTTTCATTATTAAATAGTTATTTTGGTATGAATGGCCTCTTCACCCAATTAGACTGATTTAGTAAGCAGATCTTACTCATTTGTAGTCCTCTAAGTTCAGCAAATCCTGGCTGTACCAAATAATAGTAAATCAAGTAGAGGTCAGCAACAGATTGTGAAGAAAATGTGTAACAAGGAATCCAAGTGCCTAAAATGAGTGTGTGTAGCTTTGAGGTGTTTCTGTTTCCTGGAAGGCAGAGTGAGCAGAGGATGAGCATTTGACAACTTCTGATCAGGGCCCTGGCCTCTCTCTTCCCTCCAGCATACCTATAAAATATAACTAAGTCACTAATTTAAAACAACTCTCCATAAACTTTACAAAGTAACAAATTTACTCACTCAGAAACTGTCCGTCTGTCCCCTGTCATCTCCCCTAGCCCCACCATAGTTTTTCCAACCTCCCCGACTCAAGACACAAATGCACTTGTTATTCTACTTCTGTGATGTCCCAGCAGCCCAGCTGGCCACCCTGCAGGCTCAGTCCTGCCCCAGGCACAGGTAAAGACAGGCTTCAGAGGCAGGCAGGCCTGAATTCAAATTCACATCTATCACTTTCCGGAGGATGTGACTTGGGTAGCTTATGAAGCCTCTCTGTGCCTTGGTTTCTTCATCTGTAAGTTGGGTGTGATGATGCATAACTCAGTCACCTCAGAGATAAAGCATGTGGTTAGCTGCCCCTAACTTACTTTCCCTTGGCTCCCAAATCTCTCTGGAAGTTATAGGAGAAGTCTGAGGACATCATCCACAGAAGGAAAATCTAAACTGCTGGAGACTCTTTTGTTCTTCAATGTCCCCCTCTCATTCCAGCCTTCTCTTAGTTACCATAGCAACCTCCACCTGCTCCGGCTCCCAAGGGTTGTGCCACCACTCTGCTCTGTCCCGCTCAGTTCTCCCACACCACCTTGGCCCTGGGACCGGAGCCAGCCCCTTCCCAGGCGAGCAGTTTTCTCCAACCACAGATCCCGTGGCCTGCCCTGCTGCAGTGTGCAGTCCACCCGGGCTCTTCCCACCAGAAGTGCTGGAGATCCTGCTGCCCCGTCCGTGCCAGTACCGCAACCAAAGCCCTTGCCAATTGCCTCCTTCCTGACTGCCATTGCCTCTCCCCTCGGCTGCACACAGAGGTGTAAGTGAGGGCAGTGCAGGCGGTGGGCCCATCCAGAGTCAGGAGAAGCTGAATCTACTTCCTGCTGAAGCTCCCGTTGGCACCGGCTTCAGAGGCAGAAAGCTTCCTTCTCGGAGTCCTCAAAGATGGTGGCACTTCATGAAATGATGATGAATCTGATGTTTGCAGAGTGTCAAAAGTCACGGAGAGAAGAATGAGAGGCAGCGTGCTATGAGAGCGCCAGGGCSGGGTCTGCAGGGGCTTGGGTCCAGCCCCACCCCCCTTCACTGAGTAGCCACTTGTCGGAGGATCTGTCAGTGTCCTCACTATTAAAATGGGCTCAGCCACCTCAGAGGACTGTCGGGATCAGATGAAATGAGACGGTGATGAAAATGAAGGGAAATCAAATCGAATGGWGACTGTCATTACCATCGACCTCTCAGGGAGTCTCCCCTGCTGCAGCCGGGCTATAAACTCTGAGAGTTAGAAAAACAGCTGCCATCTTATTCCACARTGTGCCCCCGCCTTCCGCCAGGGCCCGAGCCCTGTGTCTGAAACGGGATGAGCTTTCCAGAAAATGTACGTAGCAGTCAACCAGTTGAGCTCCCCTTTCCTGGGGAGACCACCTTAGGCTTCTTACCAACTATACAATGTGTCTACTCATGGCATGGGGCGGGGAAGTGTTCCACCTTTTTTTTGTTATTTTAATTTTTTAAAAAATGACACCAAAATCCTAAAGAAATGAAACTAGCTTTCTTGTGTCTCAGAAACTAGGTAAGAAAGGCCATCCCCAAACAAGAATTCAAAACATATTATAAGTAACGGCAACGTCACCAGAAAATACACGTTGAAAAGAATGAACCCTTGGCACACAGATATGTTCTTAGATGTTTGCATAAAACATTGAAAAGTGACCTAAGACTTTGCAGGTTTATGGAGACAGGGAGTGACAGCCATGAGCGTGACCTGTGCCAAGCACTGCTGAGACCAGCTCATTGGAAGGGGGCGTCCATCTAGACCCAGCTAGAATGRCCCCAAATGTGGTAGGAAGGGCCTACCACCAGGGTGATACGGCCCCGGGTCAGAAGGTGAAATGGAGAAGACCGGAGGTGAGGCRGGGCTGGGCTGAACCTGGGATGAATCAAGCCTTCCTGGAGGGTGGGGACATCCTGTCTAAAACAGGAGCTCCATTAAATCCCTATAAAAGGCTCTCCCCACTGACCTGGACTTCACATACTCCTAGCAGCCACTGCCTCATCCTGCTGGACACTAGGTAAGTCTCCTCTTAAGGAAACTCTCTCATTTTCAGTGTCTTGGTGATCTGAGCTCATAAAAACAAGGCTGTCAGACGTGAGCTGTAATCCATAGGTGCTGGCTGTGGGCAGAAGATGTTCCTTCCGGGCCCAGGCAGACCTGGAGCTAGATCCATTGGGAAATGACGCTCTCCTGCAGCAGCTGAGCTTTCTCTTCCTCCCCTGAGGCTGGTCTGGCAGCAGCTCCTCTAGCTGGGAAGCTGTGTGGGCAGCAACCACAGAGTCGCCCTTGTGCCTGCCTAGATCAGCAAAGATCTCTTGCTCCCAAGGTCCTGGAAGGTTCTTTGCAGTGCCTAGAGTCTGTGCGTTCAGAATCAGCTCACTCCCGCCAACCCAGATGGTGAGCTCCAGTCACGTCAGGGAGGAAGGGCTTACATGTCTTCTCCCCTGCCGCAGGGTGATAGATTCAGGCAAGATGAGTTTGAAGGTCTAAGAATCTGAAGTATTTTGACTATTAATGGGTCAGTGTTAAAAGTCTGCTACTTTAATACTATTAAATATTTTCATCTAGGTTGAGGAACAATGTTCTCAGCTATGTACTTGATGTAGACTGAGATTGTTGGCGACAAGGTCGTAGAAAGGAGTGTGATTAAATTCCCTATAGAAGGCTCTCACCCGMTGACCTGCTACTCCACCAGACAGCACACCTGGGTCTGCACCTTCTCAATCTTTCCAGCCACACTGACTTGCTTTTTCCAGCGCCCAAGTCTCCTTTGGCCCCTTCCTCTCAGGCCTCTCTAGCTGTCTGCCCTCTCCCCACGTCTTCTCTTTTACCTTCCCTGGTTTTCCAGCTGTCACCGGGTGATCTCTGGTACCATCTCCTACTTTTGGTCCCTCTGGGCTTCTGCTTAATGCATCTCCCAGTGGCCCTGCCTCTTGCCCATTCAGCCACACCCAGGCCCCCAGATTCCTGGTTAATGAAAGTGGATTCTTTCCTCTCAGTTGGGATCTGCTCCTCACAGGTACCAGGACTCTAGGCCTGACGCTGTCACATGCCTGATGTGCAAGCTCACCTCCCGAGAGGTCCCAGGGCTGGGGGCAGAGGTCACATGCAGAGAAACTTGGACCCTCAAAATGGAAAGACCAAACACCCAAAGAAGACACCCCTCCTCAGTATTGTCAACAGGTGGCAGCTCAGCCTCTTCTGAACACCTCCTCACATGGAGGCAGAAGAGGACAGARCTAGGCCCTGGATTCCCAGCTGGGCTCCCAGCAGACACAGAGGTCTGCCATGARTGTACTTACCAGCTTCCAGCATCCCCAGTCAGACCCTAGCATCCTTGTGATAGAAAATGATCCCTGTCGACAGGGAACATTCCAGAAAACCTATTGCATTTGTGTTGAAATGGCTTCAAGGATTTCTTGGTCCCTTAAAGCTGTGTGGTCTTGGGCAAATCTGACTTTTCTGAGCCTGTTTCCTCACCTATAAAAAAGTAAGCTAACAAGGATGACAAGAGATGATGCACAGAAAAATGCCTTGTAAGCAGTGGTGCATATGTAGATATACACAAATTATATATGTGCATATGCATATAATAACAATAATGACATTTAATAGCTAGCACTTAGTCTAAGCCAGGCATCTGCCAGGTGCTTTTTTTATGAATTATCTCTTTAAATCTTCCCAATAACCCTCTAAAGTAAGCASTAGAGTGGTCTTTATTCACAATTAGTAAGTGGAGGCATGGAGAGGTGAAACGGCTTGACTCAGCTCACATGACAGGCAGGTGTCGGGGCCGGCACTTAAAYGCTGACTTAGGTCTTGCCTCCAGTCACTGTGTGCCCTCCTGCCCATACCTAAAATGCACCACGGGGAAGGAGGAAGACGGGCAGAGAGACGGAAGCAGCACACACGAGAGGCAGAAGACCTCTGAGGAAACACTGAAGCGCTGTGGACCCTCACAGGGGCTTTTCGTCTTTTGCAGCCTGACTTCAAAGATGCCCCAGTTACTGAGAAACATCAGTGGGATCATTGAGGCCTTCGGGCRCTATGCCAGGACGGAGGGCGACTGCACCGTGCTCTCCCGAGGGGAGCTCAAGAGACTCCTGGAGCAAGAGTTTGCAGATGTCATAGTGGTATGATGGCTGAGCCCGGGAGGGACATGGAGAGTGACCTTGCTGCAGAAGCTTTGCTGGGGGATTCAAGGAGGCAGCAAGTAAATCAAGGCCTGCCAGTACTGAGGGCAGTTGTTGGGGCAGGAAAAAAGAGCAAGAGAAAGTCATGGGGTGGACAGGCCCTGGTCYTTAGAGAAGGACAAAGTTCTTGGTCCTGGTTCTTGGTGTTAGTTAATTCTAACTTGAAGACAAGGTAACAGGACACTAAAGGGACAGCTCAAAAAAGAAAGAGACTTGAAATGTTCTAGAAAATAAGATGATTGCTGCTTTCTGTAGCCTCAACTTGCTAGACTAAACGCTTCTCATGCCTATCTGAAATTTGATCATCCATTAGAGGCATTCACTAGGAACAGAGTTCTGTATCTTGCACAAAGAAGTCATTCAAAAAATTAGCTCACCGCTCACATCAGAAGTGAGATTTTGGAGCATGGGTTATTAACCGGTGGAGGGAGCCTCTACCCAACAAATCAGAACCAGGGCCTTATGTTGAATCTAAAGCAATCAGGACGATGAAGTCCTTGGGAACAAGGGATTGTGGGCACAGCTGGATGTTGCCTCTGCATGCTCAGAGCAGCCTATGGTCCTTCTGAACGCCACCCCCCTCCGCCTGGCCATCACACCCCACCTTGGTGAAACATTTGAGCCTCTGTGCGGAGCTCTCAGAACTCCCATGGGGTCAGGTTCCTGCTAACCTCTCTTTGCATGGAGCTTGCTACAGAGAATCCAGCCTCTGTAACAGAGGCAAGGTTCCAACCACAGCCACCCCCCCGCAATCATCCCGAGAGCCCAAACAGTTGCACCATGAACACAGGCATTCATTCTTCAATACAGCTTTACCCAATTATCCTGACGGCCAGAAACTGCACCAGATACAGAGGATACAAAATAATAGGTGCTTACACATGAAGTAGAGAGACAGGACTAAAAAAGGTAGAGGCAGATAAATATTAATGCTGCTAGAGCAAAATGTGTGCAGAGCTGGAGGGTGGGCTGCTAGTCTGCAGGGCTGGGAAGCCTAGCAGCTGGGCCACCTGTCCTGACCACACCTTCYTGAGGGGAGGGACGCTGACTTGTCCTCCTCTTGTTTCCAGAGACCCCAYGATGCAGCCACTGTGGATGAGGTCCTGCGCCTGCTGGATGAGGACCACACRGGGACTGTGGAATTCAAGGAATTCCTGGTTTTGGTGTTTAAGGTTGCCCAGGCCTGTTTTAAGACCCTGAACCAGAGTCCTGGGGGTGCTTGCAGTTCTCGAGAATCTGGAAACCAACACTCTGGGTCTTCACAAGAGCTGGGGGAATGTCAGAGAAGTGGCTCTGAAGTGGGAAGCGATGGGCAGGGACAACATCAAGAGGCAAGCAGCCATGCACAGAGCCAGCAGGCTTCCAGAGGCCAGGGCGGGACTGGGACTCAGACCCACGGTCAGGACACCAGCTCTGCACAGGTCAGCAGCCATGACAGGCAGGCTGAGTCCCAGAGGCAGGAGAGGGGGAGTCAGCAGACACAAGGAGCAGGCTACGTGGAGCAGACCCCAAAAGTAGAAGACAGGGGGTCAGAGAGACCACTGAAGACCAGCGRACAGACAGGTGAGGTTGTGACTGGACCTGCAGCTCAGACCCAGACAGGTRCCACCCAGGCTGGGCAGCAAGACAGCAGCCATCAGACAGGAAGTACCAACATCCAGACACAGGGGTCTTCCTCTGGCCAAACCAGGCAGACGGAGACACAGGGTCAGGTCAGGATCCAGACCAGCCAGGTTGTGACAGGAGGACAAATCCCGACACAGACAGGGTCACACACCCAGATACACAGCCAGACCGTGGGACAGGACAGCAGCCATCACACAGGAAGTACCAGCATCCAGACACAGGGGCCTTTCTCTGGCCAGACCAGACAGATGGAAACACAGGGTCAGGACAGGATCCAGCCCAGCCAGGTTGTGACAGGAGGACAAATCCCGACACAGGCAGGGTCACACACCCAGACACACAGCCAGACCGTAGGACAGGACAGCAGCCATCACACAGGAAGTGCCAGCATCCAGACACAGGGGTCTTCCTCTGGCCAGATCTGGCAGACAGAGACACAGGGTCAGGAGAGGATCCAGACCAGCCAGGTTGTGACAGGAGGACAAATCCCGACACAGGCAGGGTCACACACCCAGACACACAGCCAGACCGTGGGACAGGACAGCAGCCATCACACAGGAAGTACCGGCATCCAGACACAGGGGTCTTTCTCTGGCCAGACCAGCCAGGTTGTGACAGGAGGACAAATCCYGACACAGGCAGGGTCACACACCCAGACCACAGAGCAGGGCAGGTGCCAGGCTGAGAGTCACACAGGCAGTAGTCAAAAATGGACACACTCTGAGGTAGGCGAGTCCGTGCCAGGTGGACAGACTCAGACTGGGGAAAGCCCTGAGACAGGAAGACAGGAGGGGAGCGGCACTCACACGAGTGTGGCCAGAGGGCCGGGGGAGAGCGAGCCCACAGCGGTCAGGGCAGAGTGGGTCGATGACCACACGAGGGAGGTGGTGCTGGGAACTGAAGACCACGGCAGCCGGCACAGCAGCGCTCCGTCGTCACAGGCCCCGGACGCAGGCCAACCAGGAGGGCAGCGGGGCGTCACAGCCAAGGCGCTGTATTCCTACTTCAGAGGCAGCAAGCCGTGACTCTTCCCGACTCCGATTTCCAGGACAGAAGCCTGCTGAAGAGCCCTTTGCTGTCCTGCCCTGGCCAGCCGACAGGCACGTCCTTGGACGTCAGCTCCTAATCACGGTGCTTCCCTTTCAGGTCTCTCCCAACACATCATTTCTGCCAGGTGCTTTCTGTCCTGAGCTCTCTTCTGCTGCTTTGCTCTGTGGACTTTCTCAGGAGCAGAGATGCACGGAGCAGGCCCTCCCTCTGTGCTGAACTCCCCCATCTCACGGGGTTCTCAGAGCTACTTCTATCTCCACTCTCTGTCCACTGCCCCACCCATCCTAGTGCATCAATAAAATCTCCTTAATTGATTTCTGTGTCCTATTCAGTTGTCTCTGTTGATGTGACAGGCTAAGGGCTACAGGGTTATGATATAATTCTGAGAAAACAGTGTATGACCTTCTCAGAGCGAGAAAGATTCAAAGTGAGGAGATGTCCTACTTAACCCTTGGTAGAGGGGATCAGGGAAGACTTCTTCCAGACGGACTTTTTGGGATAGCCCTTAACTTATTCCCAGTCTTTCCCTGTCTCTAATTCTAGAGCATGAAGTCTCTATTCACCTGTGTGGTCACACAGGGCGGCTGACTTGATGGAAGGTCCAGCAGCTCTGCAGGAGAAATGGCAGAAGGCATGGTTCTGAGGGGCTGAGCCAGAAGCCAGAGCCCCCGAGCTTCTCTTCCCCACGTCCCCTCAGCCTCAGCTCCGACCTCTCATGATGCTTCACCCACTMGAAATGAATAAGTTATGGGTAGAACCAGAGGAAACATTTTTGCAAATTAAGATTTTTAAACCTAACCCTAGAGAGGCTGATTCCTAAGGTTTGGAGCAAAACCTATGAATACTGTTTAAAAACTTCTCATGGGAATGTGTGCTTCTGGCGGTACAGACGTTTAGGTACTCTGAAAGCCTCCCACAAGGAAATAAATACATCTTGAATAAGGCATATTTCTCACCGTGTTCTTGGTTCTTGGGAAATAAGGAAAATCTCTAAGGAGAAAACAAAATGTGGTAGGCTGAAAAACTACCTCCAAATATGTCTCCTAATCCCAGGAACCTGTGAACACGCTGCCTTACAGCAAAAGGGGCTTTCAAATGTGATTGTGTTAAGGATCTGGAGTTGGCGAGATAAGTCTTGATTATATGGCTGAGTTCAATATAATCACAAGGCTCTTCGTAAGAGCGACTCAATAAAAGGACACATGGAATGAATGAGCAGTTGGAGCCATGTGCTAGGAGCCAAGGAATGTGGAAAAGACAAGGCATTTCCCCCCAGAGCCTCCAGAAGGAACACAGCACATCCAGCACCTGGATTTTAGACTTCTGATCTCTAGGGTTGTAAGAGAATAAAATGTGTATAGTTTCAAGCCACTAAGTTTGGAGTAATTTGTTTCAGCAGCAATAGAAAATCAACACAGAAAACAAAAACCTAGAGCTGAGCAAGCCAGGGTGGTGCAGGCCTGTAATCCCAGTGATTCAGGAGACTGAGACAGAAGGATCACAAGTTTGAAGACAGGCTGGGCAACAAGACCCTGTCTCAAAAAACAAACAAACAAAAACACAAACCTAGAGCTGAAGCAAGAATAGTTAGGGGATAATCATGTATAAAAGGTGAGGACAAGCTGATTTTATATCCCCCCAAACTGGTCTTTAAATATAAAGGCCAGGCTGGGGCTGGGGCTCAGTGGGAGAGCACTTGCCTAGAATGTGTGAGGCACTGGGTTTGAGCCTCGGCACCACACAAAAATTAATAAATAAAATAAAGGTTAAAAACAAGTTCAAATAAATAATCTATATCTTTTAAAAATAAATAAATAAGTAAATAATAAATAGGCCAAAGATGAACAGCAAAGAACTTGCAGGCTCAAGGAATAACCCTGCCTTAAGCTCTTCCTGGAGAATCTTGGAGAAGAGACATGTATTCACACACACACACACACACACACACACACACACACACACACACAGAATCACAGAAGAAGCTTTTGAATTATACACACTTAAATACATCTAACTTCAGATCTGAGACTAAATAATGTGGACAAGGTGACAGAACAGCATTTAATGTTATGTGCTCTGAATATATAGAATGATATAGTTAACAAAAAATGATTATAGAAGGGGAAAGTGTATGGAAAATGGAGTAAGCTCACTGGTTGTCTTATGTAAGTATATACTTCAAGGAAAAATTGGGAATAAAAGAATATCACTTCAAATTAGATGTGGGGAGGGTGAAGGATTCTAGAAAATGTCATTATTAATTAGAATGGGGAATGAACAGACAAAATACAAAGGGGGGGTGCAAGATACATATTACATAAATATATACTATAAAGGTAAGTAAAGATAGAATGAAAACATAAACCTCCCTCAACATCAAAAGATATTYCAGGGCTGGAGATGTACCTCAATGGTAGAGTGCTTACCTAGCATGTACAAGGTCCTGGATTTGATCCTCAGCACTACAAAGGAAAAAAAAAGATATTGCAGAAAAAAGCTACATACACACAATCCCTTCACAGTGTATGTGTTTGTATGTATGTACATATGCATATAGATAGAATGATATACACATATACATACACATATTCGTAAAACTCATATGTGAGGTTCTACCCAACCACACAGTAACCTAACAATAAAACTACTTATAAAATATTCAATACTAAGATATAAATAAAACATATCCTCATACTGCATTCAGAAATAAAGCAAACAGGATTCTTACAGGCAGCACATGCAATATTGATGAATATCACCAAATCTGTGGTATCAGTTATTGGTAGAAATTAACAACACATATACATACTATTAATCAACTCTTGGATAAAAGGAGATGACTAGAAAGTGAAATTGTGGAACTTTTTGAAAGTAACAACTAAACAAGACATAGAAATATCGATTGAAAAGTTAGAAAAATACCTACAATGAAAACGAAACAAAAACAAAAGGAAGAATTAATAAAATCACAGGAGRAATTAACAACTAAAAACAGAAAATCATTCCATCAGTGAATAAGTAAATAAAAACCCTACATTTTGGAATCAATAAGGTAGTAAACTATCAACCAATGTTGTTTTTAAAAAGGTGAAAAAAGTGAAAGTGAGAAAACACAGATACACAGAGTAAGAAGTAACAATGGGCAAAGGCAAAAGTTCACACAGAAAAAGTAACAAATCATTCTAAAATGTATGAAAGATACTAAACTTGTTTATAATCCTAGAAACAGACTAAAACTGTATTGAAGTGCCATTTCTCATCCTCAGCCTGACAAAACCTCTCTGTGAGTCTGACGTGGAGCTCACACTTCCTAGTGGGGATGCACAATGACAGCTCAGTGGAGGGGGATTGGGCAAAATTCATCCACTGAATAAATGCCTGCTTTCTTCCAGCTSTTTCCCCGGGACCTGAAGTAGGGGTTAGCAAACTGCAGCATTCAATAATTAGTTCCTGAGGGAATTAAATGGCTTGACCTCTCCTTCCATACACGCAAGTTAATATCCTTAAGGACTTGAAACTATGTGGAGTTAGATATAATCAAGCTCACGGCAAATGAGAAAATCAAGTTTTCTTTAGTGTTGCCCAAAGTCCTGCTGTTGGAAAGGGGCAGAGCTAGGACTAAATCTAGGTCCTCTGAATATCAACTCAGTGCCAAATCACACCTCACAGAGCAGAAAGGGCACCCKAGAGCTTGAGGATCTACCAAAGGGGTTGAAAGTCAGACAGTTGGTCCTCCAACCCCCATCTCCATACTCAATGGGTGATTCTTACCATGAAAATATGGAGTCCTTGTATACCTTGGAGAAAACACCACTCTGGATCCATATTCTTAAGGAACTTCCAGGAATGGAAAGGGGGTGTTGAGTTACCAGTCCTTTCATCCATTGTATTTCTTGCTATAAACAGATGGATTGGACTCATGAATGACAATCCCCATCTTTGGGTTTAGCAGATGTGAGACTGACACTCAGGAAGAATCTACCTTCACAGTAGTTCAGAGTCTGGGCCTAAAGTGGGGTTCCTCCTAAGCTTCTGCATCCCCCAAGGTAACCCCAACTGTTCCACCCCAGGTCATCCCTCACCCCTCATCTCCTTTTGGGATTCACTGACCTCCCTTGAACTTTTAGTGTCAACATATATCTGTTTCTTTCAAACAATATCCATGTTAGTTGAGAGTCCAAAGGAAAAATTTGTGCAAAACAGAGACTCRGTGGGAACGGAGTGTTTACATACAGCCCCAAGGTGAACTCTGACATTTCTCTTTCACGTCATATCAAACACTATAAAATGTACTTACATGCCACTGAAATAGAATTTTTGCTGAGAATTTTTTGAAAGAAGATTTTTATAATTTTCCTTTTTAAATTATTTGGATGTAAATAGTATCTGATTTGACTATAATGCTATCCTTGCAGTTACAGAGCACACACTTGAGAGGGAAAAAATCTATATTAAAAGTTTCTAATCAAATAAAAAAATTCCATTAATACTAAATTCAACAATGAATGAAACTTACAAAGTTTTATTTCTAGGGATTTTAAATGTTTATTTCTATTTTGCACATTTTTWAAAAAATTTGGATACCTATAGAATAATATCTGTTTATTTTTGATTCATACATCTTTGTTGACCCTTGTAAAGCTCCTAAGCCCCAGTCACACTGAAGTCCTGTTCCCGGGCATACGGGGAAAGCCTCACTCCAGAGGCCCGGCAAACCAGGTGGYTTCCCATTTCTACAGAGCATCGTGCTGCTGCCCCCTGGTGACGGTTAAGACTGATGCCGCTAAAAAAGCTCCTGGAGGAAAAGTGCTTTTTAGGGAACAGGAAAATGTTAATCCAACACGGGGCAGGCTCAGTAGTGTGGTGGTGAGCACAGCAGCACCCACAGGAAGTACAGGAAGTGGCCAACCCCAGGCTTCACGGACCCTCGGTTTGTGGTATGTGTTTCTGTGTTCAGGAGGGGTCCTTCACAGAT